TGGAGAACCTCCGTTTGACACCTCCTATTCCTGCCCGGGCACTGGACGGACACTTACTCGGATCGGTCACTCATGTCACGGCCCCGGTCTCGATGGGTCTGTCCGGAAACCATCAAGAAACTATCCAGTTTCACCTGCTCCCCTCTCCAGGCCAACCCCTCATCCTGGGTTACCCATGGCTCCGCCGGCACAACCCTCAGCTCGACTGGGTGACCGGGGTGATCAGGGAGTGGGGAGAGGACTGCCACCGTACCTGCCTGCTTGCTGCCGCACTACCCCCTCGGCCAGTACCTACTAACTCCGCTCCTGACCTCTCCAATGTCCCAGAATGCTACCATGGTCTCAGAGAAGTGTTTAACAAAGCAAGAGCCACATCTCTGCCCCCTCACCGACCGTACGACTGTGCCATCGACCTCCTCCCTGGAACAGCCCCTCCAAAGGGCCGTCTTTATTCGTTGTCTGCTCCTGAAAGAAAGTCCATGGAGGACTACATCAATGGCTCTCTGTCCGCAGGATTAATCCGTTCATCTTCATCTCCTGCTGGTGCTGGCTTCTTCTTTGTGGGGAAGAAGGACGGATCTCTTCGCCCCTGCATCGACTACAGGGGACTCAACGACATCACAGTGAAAAACCGTTACCCTCTGCCTCTGCTCACCTCTGCTTTTGAGTTGCTCCAGGGAGCCACTGTTTTTACCAAGTTGGATCTCAGAAACGCTTACCACCTAGTGCGGATCCGGGAGGGAGATGAATGGAAAACCGCATTCAATACACCAACAGGCCACTACGAGTATCTGGTTATGCCTTTTGGCCTCACCAATGCTCCTGCTGTGTTCCAGGCTCTAGTGAATGATGTACTGCGGGACATGTTAAACAAGTTTGTCTTCGTTTACCTGGATGACATCTTAATCTACTCCAGAAACCTGTCTGAACACACCCGCCATGTCCAGCAAGTCCTTCATCGTCTTCTGGAGAATTCCCTCTACGCCAAGGCAGAGAAATGTGAGTTTCACGTCAAGACAGTGGCCTTCCTGGGGTACATAGTGGCAGAGGGAAGTATCCAAATGGATCCTGCCAAAGTATCAGCAGTCACTTCATGGCCAGTTCCGGAGAACAGAAAGAAGCTGCAACAGTTTCTGGGGTTTGCTAACTTCTATAGAAAGTTTATCCGGAACTACAGTACCGTTGCTGCCCCTCTCACTGCTCTAACCAGCACCAAGCAACCCTTCACCTGGACCCCAGCAGCCGACAAAGCCTTCAGTACCCTCAAGGTGAGGTTCACCTCCGCTCCCATCCTCCAGATGCCTGATGTGGACCGGCAATTCATTGTGGAGGTGGACGCCTCGGATGTGGGAGTTGGTGCTGTGATTTCTCAGTGGGCTGCGGAGGATAGGAAGCTCCATCCCTGTGCCTTTTTCTCACGTCGGTTGTCCCCCTCTGAGTGCAATTACGACATAGGGAACCGTGAGCTGCTGGCTGTGAAGCTTGCCTTGGAGGAGTGGCGTCACTGGCTGGAGGGGTCCACCATTCCATTTCTCGTTTGGACCGATCATAAGAACTTGGAGTACATCCGCACGGCCAAACGGTTGAACTCCAGGCAGTCCCGCTGGGCCCTGTTCTTCACCAGGTTTAATTTCACTCTGTCATACCGGCCTGGATCACGCAACACCAAGCCAGACGCCCTCTCCCGTCAATTCCAGAAGGATGACACCCCCTCCAAGGACCCTGTGTCGATTCTGCCAAGTCCCTGCATCGTAGCAGCTCTGACCTGGGCTGTTGAGGAACAGGTGCTGGAAGCTCTCCGTAACCAGCCAGGTCCCAGCACTTGCCCAGCTGACCGCCTTTTTGTCCCCGAAAACCTGAGGTCCCAGGTCGTTCAGTGGGGACATGACTCCCGCCTAGCTTGTCACCCTGGCTCCACCCGCACTTACAACCTGCTCGCCCAGAGGTTCTGGTGGCCCTCTCTGAGAAAGGATGTACGGGAATTCGTCCAAGCCTGCCCCATCTGCAACCAACACAAGTCGTCCTGCCAGCCCCCAGCCGGATTGCTGCAGCCCCTGCCTGTGCCCAGACGTCCCTGGTCTCACATCGCCCTTGACTTTGTCACGGGGCTGCCCCCTTCAAGTGGCATGACCGTCATTCTCACCATAGTTGACCGATTCAGCAAGATGGCACACTTCATTCCCCTCCCCAAGCTCCCAACCGCCAAGGAGACCGCCCAGGTGGTCCTGGAACACGTCTTCCGGATCCACGGACTGCCAAAGGATGTAGTTTCTGACCGTGGTCCACAATTCTCCTCCGCTTTTTGGAAGGAGTTCTGTCACCTGCTGGGAGCCACAGTCAGTCTGACTTCCGGATTCCATCCCCAATCCAATGGGCAGTCAGAGCGGGCAAATCAGGAGCTCGAGAAGGCACTGCGATGCATGACTTCACGCAACCCCCACTCCTGGTCGCAGCAATTGACATGGGTGGAGTACGCGCACAATTCTCTGACCTGCTCTGCCATCGGTATGTCCCCTTTCCAATGTGTTTATGGATACCAGCCTCCTCTATTTGCCAGCCAGGAAGAGGAGGTTACTTGCCCATCTGCACTTGCTTTTGCCCGTCGATGTCGCCGCACCTGGTCACAAGCCCGAGCCACACTCCTCAGATCCGTTGCCAGCTACACTACCGGGGCCAACCGTCGGAGAATTCCTGCTCCCACCTACCATGTTGGTCAAAGGGTGTGGTTGTCATCGAAGAATCTGCCACTCAGGGTGGAGTCGCAGAAGCTGGCACCTCGGTTCATTGGCCCATTCCCTATCATAAGAGTGATTAGCCCAACTGCTGTCCGGCTCCAACTGCCTAATTCCCTGAGGGTGCACCCCACTTTCCATGTGTCTAAGATTAAGCCCATTCATGAGAGTCCGCTGGTCCCTGCTGCGCCTTGTCCTCCTCCTCCACGGCTCGTCGATGGTGGTCTGGTTTACACCGTCCGCCGCCTGCTTCGGTCCAGACGGAGGGGTAGGGGTCTCCAGTACCTCATTGACTGGGAGGGCTATGGACCTGAGGAAAGGACCTGGGTGCCAGCTAGTCGGATTGTGGATAGGACTCTCATCACCGCCTTCCACCAACGGCATCCTGATCAACCTGCAATCCGTAGGGGCCGCCCCAGAGGGGTCCCTAACCGTCCTGCCCGCTCGGCTTCCTGTCCTGTGCCTGATCCTGTCTCGGGACCTGTCCCATCTTCCGACCACGGCCCTCCGGCTTCCTCCGAGGATGAGGACGTTCACTCGGACCGTTCGGAGGAGTTCTAGCCCTCCTCCGGCTCCCCTCCTCCCGCCCGGCGTGGTGTTGCTCTTGGGACTTCTGGGGCCGTCCCTTGGGGGGGGGGTTCTGTCATGAGCCTCTCACTCCACCGGGTTACCACCTTAATTTTCTTCCACTCTGCTCACCACTCTCTCTACTCAGCCTAACTAGCTCCACCTGTCCCTGCTCTGCTCTGCTCTAATTACTCTGCCAGCTGCGCTGCATTACCCACTACCTCTCCCAGTATTTAAAGCCCTGTCTTTCAGCTCTCCTTTGTCAGATCGTCTGCAAAGCTCACACCCGGAACCTGTTTGCTCGCGCTTCTGGCTCACCCTGGTTTTGTGTTCCCGGACCTGCCTGATGTTTGGATACTCTTCTGCCCCAGGAGATCCAGACCTGCTTTTTGCCATAACGACTCCTGACTACTCTTCGATCCCGGTAACTCTGACCAGCCTTCTGCCTTGCTACTACGTATTTGGATTTCCCTTGAACTGTACTGCTGCCTTGTTTCATCCGCCCTGTTGTGTCTGTGTCTCCCCCCCCCCCAGGACTTCTGGACCACCCACCACCGGCTTCATAGGACGCATCGCTGCCACTGGGGGGGGCACAGACCCAGCACATTGGACGGGATCCCTGTTACCCCTGGAGCCTTCACTCACTCCCTACTTCCCTTTTCCCTTAAGTTTTAATAAACTTTCTGGTGTGACGCAATTGTGGTCCTCTGGTCGTCTGTCTGAACCGTGACAGTTCAAGTAACAGACACATCTCAACATAACTGTTCAGAGGATAATCAGGCCATCATGGTCTATTTGCTGCAAAGAAACCCCTACTAAAGGACACCAATAAGAAGAAGAGACTTGCTTGGGCCAGGAAACACGAGCAATGGACATTAGACCGGTGGAAATATGTCCTTTGGTCTGATGAGTCCAAATTTGAGATTTCTGGTTCCAACTGCCGTGTCTTTGTGAGACGCAGAGTAGGTGAATGGATGATCTCTGCATGTGTGGTTCCCACCGTGAAGCACGGAGGAGGTGGTGTGGGGGTGCTTTGCTGGTGACACTGTCTGTGATTTATTTAGTATTCAAGGCACACTTAACCAGCATGGCTACCACAGCATTCTGAAGCGATACGCCATCCCATTTGGTTTGGGCTTTGTGGGACTATAATTTGTTTTTCAACAGGACAATGACCCAAAACACACCTGCAGGCTGTGTAAGGGCTATTTGATCAAGAAGGAGAGTGATGGAGTGCTGCATCAGATGACTTGGCCTCCACAATCACCCGACCTCAACCCAATTGAGATGGTTTGGGATGAGTTGGACCGCAGAGTGAAGGAAAAGCAGCCAACAAGTGCTCAGCACATGTGGGAACTCCTTCAAGACTGTTGGAAAAGCATTTCAGGTGAAGCTGGTTGAGAGAATGCCAAGAGTGTGAAACGCTGTCGTCAAGGCAAAGGGTGGCTACTTTGAAGAATCTCAAATCTCAAATATATAATATATAACACTTTTTTGGGTTACTACATGATTCCATATGTGTTATTTCATAGGCTGGAAGTCTTCACTATTATTCTACAATGTAGAAAATAGTAAAACAAATAAAAACCCTTGAATGGGTAGGTGTGTCCAGACTTTTGACTGGTACTATACATACGTATGTGTGTGCATGCCTGCTTGCCCACCTGCCTGCGAGAGTCCATTTATGAATTTATTTTGCAGGTGGATTATGCTAAAGTGCTACACTACGTGGGTGCAGGGGTGGCTTTTCCCACCAGTATACTGTTTGTATGTCTGCAGTCAGCCCTGACCTACCGGCTGGCCAAGACCCAGGGGGAGTACAACGTGGGCCACCTGCGACTCGGGATGAGCCTGCTAGCCTTCATCACCCTGGTTCTCGGTATCCTTTCTGCTGGTTGTCACCGTGAGAGCGAGACATGAAGGAAGGATGTACAGTAGTTATGTGTTACATGGCCCCCTTGCTGGATAAATACATGTTTTGCATACATGCTGTCGAGATGAGTATATGCATTTGTATTTTATTTTCATTTAACCAGGTAAGTTGACTGAGAACACATTCTCATTAACAGCAACGACCTGGGGAATAGTTACAGGGGAGAGGAGGGGGCGATGAATGAGCCAATTGGAAGCTGGGGATGATGAGGGCCAGATTGGGAATTTAGCCAGGACACCCCTACTCTTACAATAAGTGCCATGGGATCTTTAGTGACCACAGAGAGTCAGGACACCCGTTTAGCGTCCCATCCGAAAGACGGCACCCTACACAGGGAATGTGCCCTGGGGCATTGGGATGTATATTTATTTTTTTACCAGAGGAAAGAGTGCCTCCTAGTGGCACTCTAACACCACTTCCAGCAGCATCTGGTCTCCAGGACCAACCCTGCTTAGCTTCAGAGGCAAGCCAGCATTGGGATGCAGGGTGGTATGTTCTGTCATCGACCAAGTGTGTGTGTTCACATGCTATCTCTCAGCTCTCCTTCTGTCTAGATAGGTTCTGTTGTTCTCCTTAAACCCCTGTCCCTCCCAGGCGGTGTCTTCTTCATCCAGGAGAGCTTTGCCCTGCAGCACGCCTCCGCCATCTTTGAGTGGCTCTTCTGCATCATCATCATGCTCTTCTTTGGGACCTTTGCTTTTGAGTTTGGGGACATGTCCGGGGACACCCTGATGGTGCTGGCCAGAGGAGGGGGTGTCCAGGGCTTCTCTAGCAGTGACCACAAGGCTGAGGAGGCAGGAGGGCCCAACCACCACTACCAACCAGATGGCATAGCCATGCTGTAGGCCTATCAAAGCGAGGCTACGGGGCCACTGACCAATCACAAACAGGGTGGAAGTGGGAAGAGTGGATGCCTGACCGATCATAGTCCACCAGAGGTCATGAAGACGACGGACCCTGCAAATGGACCTGCTCGGTATTTCAGATAGCTAAAGTACCCAAAGCTTTTCTAACCAATGACTAATATCATGTTATTGCCATATTTGTACTGCGTTGCAGCAGATAGTACAGGGTGGATTGCCCAACATGTGATGTTACTAGTGCCTTTTGGAACACAGGCAGGCACACACATACACACACACACACACACACAACACACACACACACACACACACACACACACACACACACACACACACACACACACACACACACACACACACAGACAGACCTTCCTTGTCCTTTCCTTTCATCATTATGTGATCACTCTTAATTACGAGAACTTGTTGGCTTGCCTTGTACCAAATCCGATGTCTTGAGTGCCTGTAAAGCCTCCCGAGTGGCGCAGTGGTCTAAGGCACTGCATCGCAGTGCTAGCTGTGCCACTAGAGATCCTGGTTCGAATCCAGGCTCTGTAGTAGCCAGACGTGACCGGGAGACCCATGGGGCGGTGCACAATTGGCCCAGGGTAGGGGAGGGAATGGCCGGCTGGGATGTAGCTCAGTTGGTAGAGCATGGCGTTTGCAACGCAAGGGTTGTGGGTTCGATTCCCACAGGGGAAATAAAAATAATGTATTCACTAACTGTAAGTTGCTCTGGATAAGAGCATCTGCTAAATGACAAAAAAATGTAAAGCTATCATGACTAAGCAGAATATGGGTATGTGTGATCATTATGTTTGGCCATTCAGACTCTGAACTCTGCATTGTTTCTACTCAGGAAAATCTGTTTAATCACCAACTGTTGCTCAATGCCTTTTAACTGGACCTTAAAGGGAAAAGCATTCTTAAAGTCAAACAATATGGAATTGTTATTTTCTGTGCTCAGAGATATTTAATTGTTGTATTGTTGTAGGTTTAATTGTTGTACTGTATGAAAGGTAAATAGAGTGATCGGAGGTTCTGTCCGGGTGCAGTGTCCCTAGTTACTTAATTTTGTGAGGATTATGCAGGTTTTACTTGATGTTGCGTAACGCATTGAAACCAGTAGGGGGCGCCCTGATCAATGGTTTTGTTGAAGCGTCATCGGACACAGAGGTGAGCCTTACAGTGGAAAATATATTATTCCTTAAGTTAAGGGAAGCAAACCAGAGAAATGAATCACTTTGCTGTTGAAAGTGTGTCCTTGATCCAAATTGATTACATTAATGAGAAATGTTATTATAAATATTTTAATCAATGTTATTTCATGTATGCTTTCCAATGTTTCAGGTATAATTGCAAATATAGACTATTATTTTTTACTTAATCTAAATCTGTCTATTTATCACCTAGAACCTGTTTTCTAATTCATAATTTTCCAAAGTGCTTTTGTATCTTAAAGTAAGCATTATCAATACCATAGCAAAGAATAATAACATTTTCTGAGAATTAACTCTTGTGGAGACTAATGAAAAGACATGTTTGTTAAAATGTTTTATTGTTTAAAAGCCTATTTACATTTTCCAGTATTGACAAACTGTATCTGAAGGATCTGAGTTTACATGGTTTAGAGCAGTAAAAGTAATAAGAGAGAGAGAGATGGTTAGGTAGATCATGGTTTCTCAAACTCGGTCCTGTCACTGCTACGTAAAGTATGGCTATTCTACCTTTAGATTTGGTCATTCACTTTATAACAAAAGGCGGTTTTAGCGCATACAAAAAGCCTAAAGTGGAGTCAACCCACAATGTATTTAATCCAGTTTACTGCTTTAGGCATTACTGAAACCAAAGAAAAACTTAACAAAAACGAAAACTGCACCAAAAAGGAAGTTGTGTGCGTGAGACAAGCCGCATGTATAGATGTGTACAGTATGTTAAAAATACCAAACAGCCATCTCACATATCTGATGACCATTGAGGTGAAGCGGGGGGGGGGGGGGGTTATGAATCATAGCCACTGCCCCTTCCGCACCCCTGTCTTATGACCGAGATGTTTGGGGTTTTAGTTTTCACCCAAAGAGAGAGCGAGAGAGAGTACACTCCCCCCTACTCCACCCTTGCCCACCCTCCCCGTACCCCTAACAGCTGCCGGCTTGGCTGTCACGTACTGGGTAACAGCAAGACAGACAGCTGCCCATGTCACCGCTGCCCCATGCTCAACGCGCCACACACTAGAAGTTGAGGTTCTTGGCCACCTCCCAGGGAAACTCCTTCCTGCCAAAATGGCCGTAGCAGGCCGTCTTCTGGTAGATGGGCCTTTTCAGGTCCAGGTCTCTGTGGACAAACATCCAACAAGGTATTCCTGTCAAATCTCATTGCTGCAACTTAGTGTTGAAGGTCAGGGAATATATACATATACGAGACTAGGGCAATAAGATTTTCTTGGCATGTGACTTGATTAGGAAAGATTTGGTGCTTATAACTAAGGCCCAGAGTTTCTCCTGGCCTGGTTGAGTGATCAGGAATAACTCCTGGCCCTATGTATGACTAAGTGGAAATAGATAATAAGAATTGTGTCCCACCTGACAATGACCCCAGGCCGGAGGTCAAAGTTCTTGTTGACGATATGCAGCAGCTCCTTCTCAGTCTTCTGGGAGGAACCATAGGTGAACAAGGAGATGGACAATGGGGCGGCCACTCCGATGGCATAGGACACCTGGATCACAAACACAGGATATCAACTCATCAGTTCCAATAGAAATGACTGGCATTGTTTACTTCGGTTCGGTTGACAGTGTCCAAAGGTTAGAGAAGTATACGGTTGAATCTCTCACCTGCACCAGCACCCTCTTGCACAGATTGGACTTGACCAGGGACTTGGCAACCCAGCGTGCGGCGTAGGCGGCAGACCGGTCCACCTTGGTGTAGTCCTTACCGGAGAAGGCCCCGCCTCCGTGGGCACCCCAGCCACCATACGTGTCCACAATGATCTTCCTACCGGTCACCCCAGCATCACCCTGTCATAAACAGAAATGTGTGAATGTGTGAAAGCGGACAAAGACCAGAGGTTGTAGCTTTCACTCATACAAAATTATCAAGAAAATCAAATGATTCAAGCAGACAGTGTGTTCACAGGCTGTGGATTCCACATGAATCACCACCCAGACACTACAAAGATCCAGCCGTCCTTCCTAATTGAGCTGCTGGAGAGGAAGGAACTCTTACTGATAACTGGAAGCAAACTGGAAGTAGATATAAAGTAGTCGGCCAGACCTCCTCAGTGGAGGGAGGAACATCCACTTAGTCCTAAAAAGGTGAGGTCCTTTGATAGCTCAGATAGGTTCTAACAATCCAGGTTGAGCTAACAAATGAGACAATGACAATTGTTACCTGGGGCCCACCGATAACGAAGCGTCCGCTGGGCTGCAGGTGATAGACGGTGTTGTCGTCCAGGTACTTGGAGGGCACCACGGCCTTGATGACCTTCTCCTTCAGGATCTCCTTCTGCTCCTCCAGGCTCACGTAGTCGTCGTGCTGCACTGAGATGACCACAGTGTGAACTCTACGAGGGATCACTGCCCCGTTCTCCTGGGTGTAGTGAACTGTCACCTGGAGAGGAGAGAAGGGGAGCAAGGGAGAGAGGTGAAGAGAAGGTTAAATGAAGAGCGAGAGAGCTGGGGGAGTGAGTGTGTGGGAACTACATTATCGAGTTCTCCAAACCAGCTTTTGTTCCAGCCCAGCACTAACACACCTCTACAAGAATCTCTAATCAAGTCACAAGCTTTATTCTGAACCATGCTGCTTAGTTACATCTAGCTTGGATGCTTCGACTAGTAGTATAGTACATTGTTTTGGGGGTACCTCCAAAACATATGATATGTTAAAATTATTTGGTTACTTAAGACAGAAGGTTACTTAAGACAGAAACTAAAGTAGGGAGGTTGGTTGGACTCTGGGAGGATAGGTGGGCGTATAACGCGAACGTCTAGCAACCCAAAGGTTGCGTGTTCAAATCATCTTGGCGACAACTTTAGCTAATTAGCAACTTTAGCTAACCACAACCATAGCATTTTGCAACTACTTAGCATGTTAGCTAACCCTAATCCTAACCCCTAACCTAGCCAGCTAACGTTAGCCACAAATACTAACGCAACAAGATGTATGATACTGTACGACCGCTAAGACGTATGATACTGTAGGACCGCTATTCCACCACCGGACTATTCGTAACATATCCTACGAATTGGAGGACATAGCATATCATACGAAATGGAGGGACCAAGAAAAATCATAATATTATCCGAATGGGTGTGAGACAGCATTGTTACTGCTTGGCTGGAAGAAAAGCCTTCACACCCTATAATTCTTCAGGACCCCTGTGTTCTGTATTGTGAATGTGTCATGGGTTGAGGGGTGTGATAGATCTCCTGCGCCAAGATGAAATGTGGCACTTCCCTTTGGTCGCTACTGAACCCCAGGAACTCCAAATAGCACCTTGAGAGAGTTCTCTGTTTCCAAAGAGGACCAATGGTTTTAGAGCTAGAGCTTTTCCAAAGGGCAGGGGGCGGGACAGGTGGACAGTGGACTCGCCTGAAGACTAATGAGTTGTCCATGGGAACATGTGGGAGGAGAGCAAAAGCAGACCATGGAAAGATTCCAGGCCTTGGAATCCATGTTCTCTATGTCATCAAGCTCACGGTGTAAAGCAGGGTTCTTCAATTCCGGTCCTGGAGGGCCGAAACACTTCTGTTTTTTATTTCTACCTGGTAGTTAATTGCACTCACCTGGTGTCACAGGTCTGAATTAGCCCCTGATTAGAAGGAGAGGATGAAAAACAGAGGTGTTTCGGCCCTCCAGGACCGGAATTGAAGAACCCTGGTGTAAAGCAATATCGATGACTGGGTTCAATGTAAACACCAGAACAGCTTCCAGTCTATCTGACTTGAAAGTCGATCACCATGACTTGTAAGAATGTGCACGTGAATGTGGATTATTTGTGTGTGTGGAAGGTCAGAAAGTTCTTAGATAAGACTGGACACTGGAAAGGAAGGGAGAGTGGGTCTCCAAAAGACGGAAGCTCCTGTTGCTTTGAGAGGGTTCATGTTCAGTGGCCATTTATGGAAACATCTAACTGATGTATAATGGAATGACAACAAGGATGGCTCCAGGCTCGAGTCAGAGTGTAACGATATCGATCTTCCATCATCATACCTGGGTCTTGGAGTCAGGGCGGAGCCAGGGGACATTGCCATTTCGCCTCAGTTCAGCCATCTTGGCATTGAGTTTGTGGGCGAGGACGATGGTGAGAGGCATGCACTCCTCTGTCTCATCAGTTGCATAGCCAAACATCAGACCCTGCAAACCAAGCACAGGCAGTTTAGAATGATATCACCTCACACTGCTGTCTCAAACCCCAATTGTTGAAGGATCTGTTTAATCACCTGGTCTCCTGCTCCGATGTCACTTTCCATCCGGTCGATGTGAACTCCCTGGGCAATGTCAGGGGACTGCTGCTCCAGAGCCACCAGCACGTTACAGGTCTTATAGTCAAAACCTGAGGGGAGAGAAACATGCTATAACTGCCTTGCGTGCCGGATTAAAAACATTGTGCACACCTGGGCTATGATAACTCATCCTAAAGAGAAAAAGGTAGTGGAAAAACGATATCATAATATATGCTTGGGTAGGGGAATGATTTATACAAGTCCAACCATACCTTTATCTGAGTTGTCATAGCCGATATCCCTGATGGTATCCCTCACAATTGTCTGGTAGTCCACGTTGGCCCGAGATGTGATCTCCCCACAGAGCAGCACCATGCCCGTCTTACACACAGTCTCTGTTCACAACACACAATGGTTAGAATACTAACCATATCCCTTATCATCATGCAACATTCATTTAACTGAAAATAGTATTTTCGTTGCGATAGAAAGACGGTCCGTCATTTCCGTAAATAATCCATGCTCAGGCCAAAGACTGAAGCACTTCAACAGCATCTGGGGCTGTATGTATCAAGTGTCTCACAATAGGGGGGCTCATAGTCATTGTGATCTATAAAGCAAAACTGATCCTAGACCAGCACTCCTACTCAGAGATGCTTGATACACTACATGACCAAAAGTATGTGGACACCTGCTCGTCGAACATATCATTCCAAAATCATGGGCATTAATATGGAGTTGGTCCCCCCTTTGCTGCTATAACAGCCTCCACTCTTCTGGGAAGGCTTAACATTGCTGTGGGGACTTGCTTCCATTCAGCCACGAGCAGTAGTGAGGTCGGGCACTGATGTTGGGCAATTAGGCCTGGCTCGCAGTTGACGTTCCAATTCACCCCAAAGGTGTTCAATGGGGTTGAGGTCAGGGCTCTGTTCAGGCCAGTCAAGTTGTTCCACACAGATCTCGACAAACCATTTATGTATGGACCTCGCTTTGTGCACAGGGGCATTGTCTTGCTGAAACAGGAAAGAGCCTTCCCCAAACTGTTGCCACAAAGTTGGAAGCACAGAATCGTCCAGAATGTCATTGTATGCTGTAGAGTTAAGATTTCCCTTCACTGGAACTAAGGGGCCGAGCCTGAACCATGAGAAACCGCTTCAGAACATTATTCCTCCTCCACCAAACTTTACAGTTAGCACTATGCAGTCGGGCAGGTAGCGTTCTCCTGGCATCTGCCAAACCCAAATTTGTCCATCGGACTGCCAGATGGTGAAGCATGATTAATCACTCCAGATAACGCATTTCCACTGCTCCAGAGTCCAATGGTGGCGAGCTTTACACCACTCCAGCCGACTCTTGGCATTGCGCATGGGGATCTTAGGCTTGTGTGCGGCTGCTTGGCCATGGAAACCCATTTCATGAAGCTCCCGACAAACAATTATTGTGCTGACGTTGCTTCCAGGGGCAGTTTGGAACTCGGTAGGGAGTGTTGCAACTGAGGACAGACGATTATCACGCGGTACGTGCTTCAGCACTCGGCGGTCCTGTTCTGTGAGCTTGTGTGGCGGAGCTGTTGTTGCTCCTAGACGTTTCCACTTCACAATAACAACACTTGCAGTTGACCGGGGCAGCTCTAGCAGGGCAGAAATTTGACGAACTGACTTGTTGGAAAGGTGGCATCCTATGACGGTGACACGTTGAAAGTCACTGAGCTCATCAGTAAGGCCATTCTACTGCCAATGTTTGTCTATGGAGATTGCATGGCTGTCAGCAACTGGTGTGGTTGAAATAGCCAAATCCACTAATTTGAAGGGGTGTCCACATACGTTTGTATATACAGTGGCAAGAAAAAGTGTGTGAACCCTTTGGAATTACCTGGATTTCTGCATAAATTGGTCATAAGATTTGATCTGATCTTCATCTAAGTCACAACAATAGACAAACACAGTCTGCTTAAACTAATAACACAAACATTATACGTTTTCATGTCTTTATTGAACACACCGTGTTAAACATTCACAGTGCAGGGTGGGAAAAGTATGTGAACCCTTGGATTGAATAACTGGTTGACCCTCCTTTAGCAGCAATAACCTAACCAAATGTTTTCTGTAGTTGCGGATCAGACCTGCACAAAGGTCAGGAGGAATTTTGGACCATTCCTCTTTACAAAACTGTTTCAGTTCAGCAATATTCTTGGGATGTCTGGTGTGAACCGCTCTCTTGTGGTCATGTCACAGCATCTCAATCGGGTTGAGGTCAGGACTCTGACTGGGCCACTCCAGAAGGCGTATTCTGTTGTTGATTTACTTCTGTGTTTTGGGTCGTTGTCCTGTTGCGTCACCCAACTTCTGTTGCGCTTCAATTGGCAGACAGATAGCCTTACATTCTCCTGCAAATGGTGTTGATAAACTTGGGAATTCATTTTTCCATCGATGATAGCAAGCTGTCCAGGCCCTGAGGCAGCAAAGCAGCCTCAAACCATGATGCTCCCTCCACCATACTTTACAGTTGGGATGAGGTTTTGATGTTGGTGTGCTGTGCCTTTTTTTCTCCACACATTGTGTTGTGTGTTCCTTCCAAACAACTAAACTTTAGTTTCATCTGTCCACAGAATATTTTGCCAGTAGCGCTGTGGAACATCCAGGTGCCCTTTTGCGAACTTCAGACATGCAGCAATATTTTTTTTGGACAGCAGTGGCTTCTTCTGTGGTGTCCTCCCACGAACACCATTCTTGTTTAGTGTTTTACGTATCATAGACTCATCAACAGAGATGTTAGCATGTTCCAGAGATTTCTGTAAGTCTTTAGCTGACACTCTAGGATTCTTCTTAACCTCATTGAGCGTTCTGCGCTGTGCTCTTGCAGTCATCTTTGCAGGACGGCCACTCCTAGGGAGCGTAGTATCGTGTCCCGTCGGCTGTTGGTGGCTATTGCTGTCAAACAAAGAGTCCACTTAGGCTGCACCTTGATTAGAAGCTTTTATTAATATCACAAGTTTACAGCATAAGTTACAGACCCGCGGTGTCTGGAGAAGCACCGTCCCAAATTAATCTGAATGCTTCTGCCGCCTCTTTGTCTAGCTCATACTTATAAACAATGGCAAAAATGGGTTGCTCCCTCTTTCGTCCAATCACCGGTCTCCCCTGGGGCGTCACCCTAAAACTGACTGCTTTTGAACTAACATAAACAACATTCCATTTCTTCATGAAAAACATTTAACAAAGGCATAATCCTAATACACTACAGTAGCAACAGTGCTGAACTTTCTCCATTTATAGACAATTTGGCTTACCGTGGACTGATGAACATCAAGGCTTTTAGAGATACTTTTGTAACCCTTTCCAGCTTTATGGAAGTCAACAATTCTGAATCTTAGGTCTTTTGAGATCTCTTTTGTTCGAGGCATGGTTCACATCATGCAATGCTTCTTGTGAATGGCAAACTCAAATTGTGTGAGTGTTTTTTATAGGGCAGGGCAGCTCTAACCAACATCTCCAATCTTGTCTCATTGATTGGACTCCAGGTTAGCTGACTCCTGACTCCAATTAGCTTTTGGAGAAGTCATTAGCCTAGGGGTTCACATACTTTTTCCAACCTACACTGTGAATGTTTAAAATATGTATTCAATATCGACAAGAAAAGCACAATAATTTGTGTGTTACTAGTTTAAGCACACTGTGTGTCCATTGTTGTGACTTAAATGAAGATCAGATCAAATGTGATGACCAATTTATGGAGAAATCCAGGTAATTCCAAAGTGTTCAAATACTTTTTCTTGCCACTGTAGTGTATATTACGCTCCCTGATCAAAGGCTGAGAAGTTTGTCCTCAGCTGCTCTCTAGTGGTGAGATGCGCTCCTCCACTCACCACAGGCCACCTTGGCATCTGGGTCCTGCTTCAGGTGAGCATCGAGTACAGCATCACTGATCTGGTCACATATCTTATCTGGAAAAATAATGTAACGTTATTAATCTGTCATTGTCAACAGTTAAGCATTGATGTTTTGTTTGCATAATTGTTAGGTAATGCAATGGGATATAGACTATGACCCACTGGACACAGACATAAGTTCGTCTAATTTTGATTTACATTTTGTTGAGTTGTCAAACTAACGTGAATTCAACGTGAAATGTCATCACATAGATTGTTTGGGTTTAAATTATGTGTAAACAACATTGATTCAACACGTTTTTGACGAGTGGGGAATGAGTACTGTAGTGAATCAGAAAAATTAACTCAAACTCGGGTCGTGCTGGCTGTCAGTCCAACACCTTTACCGCTATACCAAGAGGTCCAAACCTGTTGGTAGGTGTTGTACTAATGTTAATTGACCAGAATGGTCCTCCCTGAAGTTAGTGAGTTGGTTTCCTGGCTTGACCTTTTGCTGCACACCACAGAAGCCAAGACCAAGATTAGATTTCACCCCTTCCATCAGAGTACTACTCTTGGTTGGCTCATAGGTCCTCCAACCCTCGGAATAGCTCTAGCACTGTGGATGCATACCTCTGTAGCATGCTTTAGCACACTGGCAGTCAATATACACCACCTTATACTTACTGTACAGTCAGGTCCAAAATTATTGGCAACCTTGATAAAGATTAGCAAAAATTACTGTATAAAATAAAAAAATAAAAAATACTGAGCTATATTGTATGCTTTTTTATTTTATTTTATTTTATCCTAATAAAATTGCTCAGAGAAAGAGATTTTGTTTAACAAATAAAATACCTTTTTCAAAATTATTGGCACCCTTGTTTTTAATACCTTTCAATACCTCACCTTGCGAGGATAACGGCACTGAGCCTTTTTCTAAACTGTTTTATTAGATTGGCGAACACATTGGGAGGGGTCTTAGACCATTCCTCCATACAGAATCTTTCCAGATCCTTGATATCCCTCGTCTGTGCTTAAGGACTGCCCTCTTCAATTCAAACCACAGGTTTTCAATGGGGTTCAAGTCCGGAGACTGAGATTGCCATTGCAAAATGTTGATTTGCTTGTGGATTTTGTTGTGTGCTTGGGGTTATTGTCCTACAGGAAGATCCACTTTTTTTCTAGTGCTAGACGTTCGCGTTATATGCCCACCCATCCTCCCCGAGTCCAACCAACCTCCCTACTTTAACTTTCTGTCTTAAGTAACCAGATCATATGTTATGGTGTAGGATTGAATATTTTCCCAGTATTTTACAAATGTTACATCCCGAGAATAAACCGGAAGTGACATTCAAAAGCATTATAAAGCATATAAATATGTCTGGATTTGATTATAGCTTTGATCAGCAAATATTTAATACATTTTATGAGCCCTACATTAACGACATTTAATGAGCCCAAGACCAAAAAAGCCAAAATTATTGTGCAATTATCCAATACTGCACGTTACACACTGCAGAAAAACATAAAAGCCCATAGATGTAGCTAGCTATATGCTCTCTTGGGTAAATAAATTAAACTAGCTCCAGTAGGCTAATCTTTTTTAGTGTGAACTGTATTACTGTACTGTATTGTATTATACTGTATCATATGGACTGGAATTACACACATCGTTCAAAACATGATAAAGCAGAAGAGAACATGCGATCCTGGTGCTGCACATGCAGCCTACAAAGTTACAAGTATAGGCTACAGTTCAATCTTGGTTTTCATCAGACCAGAGAATCTTGTTTCGTTGAGTCCTTTAGGTGCCTTTTGTCAAACTCCAAGCGGGCTGTCGAGCCTTTTACTGAGGAGTGGCTTCCGTCTGGCCACTCTACCATAAAGGCCTAATTGGTGGAGTGCTCTAGAGCTCTGTCAGAGTGACCATCGGGTTCTTGGTCACCTCGCTGACCAAGGCTCTTCTCCCTCGATTGCTCAGTTTGGCTGGGTGGCCAGCTCGAGGAAGAGTCTTGGTGGTTCCAAACTTCTTCTATTTAAGAATGATGGAGGCCACTGTGTTCTTGGAGACCTTCAATGCTGTACACATTTTTTGGTACCCTTCCCAAGATCTGTGCCTCGACACAATCCTGTCTCGGAGCTCTACGGACAATTCCTTCAACGTCATGGCTTGGTTTTTGCTCTGACATGCTCTTCTTCTTCTTTGGTATAATGGTGTTCGCAACAATTAAAGTGCATTCCGCCACCTACTGTGCTGGTGGACAATAAAAAATGAAAACATTTGGGTACGAATAAATACAATATCATACAAACTACAAAAAAAAGAGAAAATAACTGAACAAAATCAACCTGCTTTTCTGTAAAAAAAAACTATTTCTAATCAGGTCCCAACACAGGCTCAGAAGCCTCCTGTGAGGGCGGGACATTTCCGAGCAACAGAAGTCCTTGTAGTGCTTCTGCCATAAAGTCTTAGAGCCCTAAAAACTTCTCGGCTGCAGATATAACGATATCCAGCTTCTTGGACTTCTTAGACACTTAATCACTGTGGCTATAAACGCCACAAAATCCACCTTCTTCACAATGAGTGTATCCAGATTATTCGATTGACATAAAACACTAGCAACTGGTTGCAATGTATCCACCGCCATATCTTCAACACTGTTGCCTCTTGCCCCTTTGACTCTCTTCACCGCCTCCACATAGGAGATCCGCTGCACAGCCCTGATCTTTGACACCTCGACCTCCTTCACCCTAACAGGGCACTCAAGGATGTCCGGAGTATGATCCCCACCACAGTGCAACATTTTCCATTCACAGATTCTTCAATATCATACTTCTCCCGTCTGCAAACATTTGACACGTGACCATATCCTTTACAATTTCCACACTGTAATGGTTTGGACACAAATGCTCTCACCGCATACCTCACATATCCAAGCTTCACATATTCAGGTAGAGTCTCTTCAAACAACAATAATATCGACAGGCTTTTCTCCTTCCTTCCATTTACCATACGGGTCAGGCGACGTACACTGACCACTCCTGGGATTTTCTGACTAAGGTACTCATCTATATCCAACGAGACTCCAGCTATAAGTCCTTTGGCAGGCGCCCTGCTCCGAAGATCAATACATGTTACTTCTGACGTGGACAATTTTGCCAGATCCAGTGCACTCTTCTTCTATTCTTCATCAACACAATTAACCAAAACAAGGCCGCTTCTAGTCACCTTGATTGAATCCACCTTTCCCACTGCTTTCTTCACAGTCCTCGATATTACAAACGGATTTCCCAAATGAATCTCCTTGTCCAGAAAACGCAGTCAAATAAGAATTGCATTATGGGACCGGTCCTTGTCTTCTACTACAACTTTTGCTCGTTTTGTTCCATTCTTTGATGTCACTATGTTCCGTTCGTCATCACACACTTCACTTGCCACAGTTTCAGATTCAAGCACAGTCAACCATTTTCTCCTCTCTGACATGCACTGTCAACTGTGGGACCTTATATAGACAGGTGTGTGCCTTTCCAAATCATGTCCAATCAATTGAACTTACCACAGGTGGACTCCAATCAAGTTGTAGAAACATCTCAAGGATGATCAATGGTAACAGGATGCACCTGAGCTCAATTTCGAGTCTCATAGCAAAGGGGCTGAATACTTATGTAAATAAGGTATTTCTGTTTTTGATTTTGAATTAATTTGTTAAAGAAAAAAACAAAACTGTTTTCGCTTTGTCATTATGGGGTATTGTGTGTAGATTGATGAGGACATGTTTTATTTAATCAATTTTAGAATAAGGCTGTAACGTAACAAAATGTGGAAAAAGTGAAGGGGTCTGAATACTTTCCGAATGCACTGTATATAGGGCTATATATCAATCTAGAACAGGATGATCTATTTTGGATGCAATTTGAATGGAGTTGATGGGTAAAGTTCATGATGTTGTTGACCTTAACAAGGGCCCCAGGACCAGTGTAAGCAAAATAGCCCCATAACATCAAAGATCCACCACCATATTTTACAGTAGGTATGGGGTTATTTCCTGCCAATGCATCCTTCTTTCGACGCGAAACCCACCACTGGTGTGCGTGGCCAAAAAGCTATATTTTCATGTCATCTGACCATAGCTCCGGTTCCAATCCAAGTGCCAATACCGTTTAGTAAACTCCAGGCGTTTACATGTGTTGGATGACAGAGTATACATTAGAAAGAGAGAGTGAGAGGTTGAGAGTATTAACTATGAACACTGAGGGAAAGGGTCAAGCGACACATCAACACTTGGACATTAGATAGTGACATTTATACACAATAACATGTCCAGTACAGCAACTCCCCCTCACACAATGTATAATTCCAAACATGTATTAACTATGCAATGCGTGAAGTGTTTTTACTGAACCCTTTCATGTTTGAAAACATGAGACAATATGACAGCATAACAGAATTAGTGAGGGAAAGTGTGGTAAGTGATATGCGAGCAGATCAAGTCTATGAAAACATTGTGACATGAAATGCAGACACTAACACTAAGTCATCAGTAGGTGTTAGGGCATTTGTTGCATAAGTTGGTGTATGTTTGAGCATGTGTGGAGTGTACACAGTGGCGACCCGTCATTCAGGGCAGGTGAGCCCCACCTGTATTTTTTTGGGTGCGTGTTTTGTATGTTATTTTGACATTAATACATGTCACATATCAGTTTGCAAACAATGTAAAAAATAAAATAAAATCAAGCATTGAGTTAATAAAGCCGCACACAAACATGGTCTATTTTTTGCTTTCTTGAGTAAGACAGCTCCAAAATGCAGGTGTTTCAGCCTAGTTCAGTGCTTTCTATGGTGGTGGTGGTGGTGGTGGGGCAGCCAGTGGAAAATACGGAGAGTAGGGGTTGGTAATGTTCTCTAGTTGCGCCGTGATTGGCTCAGGGTTCTGTCACTCATGGGGACACTACGTCACCACAAAATCTACGGGGATCAGCAGGGGATCAAATACTTTTTTCCCTCACTGTACATACATACACATACATTCATATACACATACATACATATAAATATATATATATATATATATACAT